GGATTGGAAGTCGATGATTGGTAGAGAGAGGAGACTAGAGCATTGAATGGTAATTCAATGCTCCCAACAAGCTAAGTTTCGAAAGAAAATGTTGTCACTCATACTTTTTTTATCAACTCATGATCAAATAACTTTTACCTACCACAACTACAGGATCGTTAGGTATGACGTCAGGAGGCTTGCAAAGAATTTGCAATCGGATTGGAAGAATTTCAAGGTCAGCATTTTTATTGGAGCATAAAACCAGAGGCTCCATTGGTGAATTATCGCCGTTCAAACCACGCTGTGGAACAATGATGACCATGGAGTCACCAGATGGAGGACTAGTAGGGAGACTAGGCGCAGAATGCTTGGAAATGCCTCGGCAAAGGTGAATGCGTTGGCACCAGAGGGTAAGATTTTCTATCAAGGGTTGAAAAGACAAACCCGTGTTTGATTCCTCTTCAACTAGATCAGCAGGAACCAGTATCTCCATATACAATTCCCAGGAGTTGTTACTGGGAACAGTTGTCCCTTGACTGAAGTAAAAATATAATTTCACTAGATAGGTGGAGTTGTATAGCAAGATATTGTAGCGTAAACGGTAACTCACACTGACATGCCCTTGATTGGTGACTTATCACTGGATCTCTTTTGTAGAATTCGACCGGTTTTAGGCCTCTGTAGACCGCTTTTTGCTCGCATCCCTCCACCAGCATTACTTAATCGTGTTTTCTGTAGTTGATGTGCTACCATGTTTCGACGTGGGGGAGCTCTGCGCTCTAAAACATCAAATGGGGAAGAAATTGTCCCCAAGTCTACAGACTCAAGCCGCTAATGCAAATAGGGTAGACAGGTTCCACTTCATGGAGTCTTACAGTAAAAAAGGTAATGTAAATTCTGGATAAATTATGGGAGGGTTTTTTCCAGTCAGTTAAAATTGAAATCACCTTCATCTCCTCGCATATTACCAGAAGGATACAAATTTCTCTGGTGTTGATTAACAAGGCTGGAAGACTTTTGTCTCTCCTTAGCAGCCAAAGCAGTCATAACTGCCCCCATCGCATTCCATAATTGCGTTGGAAAAGTCAATCGACGGAAAATTAGACGAACTGCGTTTAACGAAGCGTCTAAAAGAAAGTGTTTACGATACAAATTTTAATAGCTGTTACACGGAATGAGATTTGAGGGACATGACAATGCATCATTTCAAAAGCATTCGATACTATTCTAGAGTAGTTAACATTATCACCTGCTTATAAAAGTATTGTTTAAATTTTGTAACAAAATGACAAGTATCTGTGGAATTGCAATCTGTATAACATGTTAAACACACTATCAACGTATAGTCGAGTAAAAACTAAGATAAATTTTCTACTTGCTATGGCTACAGTTGAAGCATCTTTTTTCGTGAAAAATGCTTTACCATAAGGTGGGTCTGGGGATGTCTTCTTTGAGAGCGGTGTGGGTGAATTTGCACTAGTCGCTTTCTTTGTTGCCTTGGCCACCTCTCTGCCTGACCTATCCACATTGGCTAGGTCCTCAACTCGGTTGCTGACATTGACATCAGATTGTGGAGTCACATCCTGAAACAAACAAACAAACAACTACTTGCTGCGTAAAATGGTAACGTTCATTGTATGCACTGCGGATGGTGGGTAAACGGTTGGCATCCCAAATTGGAATATTCAATGGAAGCCATGATTAAATCTTAATTCAGTTAAAATTTCTAAATTCGGATATTCTTCGTTAGGGAGTATCAAATCATGCCACTGACGGTTACTTTTGGCAATCTTCTGGCTCTTGTACACGTGGACTGGCCTTTTGAGTCCAACTAAGGCTTAATCCCTTCTCCTCTCCCCCAGCTCAAATTAATGCCTTCCTTTACTTGATTAGGAGGCCCAGAGCGCTAAAATTTCAATTTCAACTTCTTCATAAAAGAGGAAAAAACATCACAGACGTTTAACGCAAAGATTAGGTCTAAGAAATCCACCCATAGTTTCGACAGTCAATGCATTCTTAGCATGTAAAAAGCTAAAAAAGAGGAATGCCAACACCAAGTCGGTATTATGCCACACCTAGAGCCTTGTGCCTTGAAAAATTGACTTACGTGACGGGGAAGAAGAGCGTTGTCAATGACAATGTCCCTTTCCAGATCTGTGTCTGTGCAGACGTCCCAACAGTCATCATCAAACAGACTGTTTACACTGTCAGGCAAACCAAAGGGCATTTCTGGCTGTGAAGTAGTCACTCTAGGACTTGGATGGAGTTCAGGTTGATTCAAAATGAAATCACCTTTCTCTACTCCAAGGTATTCATCATCATCATCATCATCATCATCTGATCTGGTAAAATAAGGGAAACTATTCAACAAGTACTACTTACATATTTTAAAGTAAAGATTACCCTGAAGTGATACTCGGTTCCACCTCAGATTTCAATAGCTTTTATTTGATTCAATGTGATAAACTACGTCATAAAGCACCTGCATTTCCATTCTGACAGTTACACATACTGATTAATGGCCGTAGGATTGGGTTCTATGGCGGGCGTTCTCTCCACCCGTCCAGCATCAGTGTTGATTTCAGCCAAGACCTGTTGACGCACTCGACGACTCTCCTCCAAGGCTGATTGAATGCGTGCTACCACCTCCATACTGAGAGTTGATTCATTGTTAGCATCCACCAGCGATATGACCTTCATATCCTTGTCTTTATTCAAATTATTATCTTGGACCGTTATTTCCCCATTGCTCTTCAATGTAGGTCCCTGTGTTTCAAGAAGAAGTAATTGTAATTAAATGTGGGATGGGATGCCAAAGCTCCAAAAAGTACAAGAAGTCAGCCAATAACGAAAATTTTGACGTAGTTTTACACATTATAATCAAAATCCCTAGAATGGCCACCATTATGACGTGCGTCTGGATGACATCGCACTTATCCGCATAAAAATGATTGAGAGTGAAAAGCTAAAAAAAGGACCACTCAATCCACACCAAACCCCGGTAACCATTGTAAAATCGAGTTCTGTAATAATACCTGTAAATAAAATGACTCGACCTCGCATTTCACAGCCACAGGACAAGAAAAATTGGCATAACTTCACGATATGATAAAGAGATGGCGACAAAATTTTGCCAAGGAAGCCAATCAGTTAAATGAGTGACCTACCTGAAGGGGTTGGTCGGCTCTTAGTTCCTCAACCTTAAATCTTAGGCCAAGCTGCGACAATCCTCATAATGATGCAATTTGATTGTTTTGTGACAACTCTCCCATCAGTTACCTGAGCACTATTTAATCACTACTAAAGTCCTCATCTTCCGTGAAAAGACTCATGATTCTCGTAGGGAGCCCGACCTATGTCATCTACACACCAAACTTGGAAAGTGGCCAAAGGCATCAAGACCATTCGACAATACTTTGTCTGCCTGCATTCTCAAAAGTCGACAACCTCAAGAAGCTTAATCCGGTCACTTTAGCATGTATCCATTCAAGTTAAACGTTAACTTTTTTCCATCACTTCTGATTCGCCTCAAATTAAATTACTATACCTCATGATTGTAATCGTCGGTATCAAATACATTAATTGTCGGATTGGAAATGGAGGTTTGAGAAGCCAATGAATGATGACATTTCAGGGGCAAAGAAGTCACTCGAGGCAGACTTTGGTGTTTCTTGAGGAGGCCATGCGATTGAGCACCTACGCAAAGTCAAAAGGAGAAACCGACTTTACCATTATGAAATTGAAGCACAGTTGTCTGATTACTGTTGCACTGCTTGTTTGGTGAACATATTATAATGTGTGTTACACTAAATGAGTAAATTTAGTGCCATGCTCAAAGAGACAGTTATTATTAAAGTTCTTTATTCTCACCTTGTAGTAGCTCATAGGAGAGACTGACAGTCAATTCGCCTATTTTTGAGGCTCTTGCATTAGCCACAGCTACAACGCTGCAAAAGAGATGAAAATTAGGGTAAAATATACATATTAAACCCACCTTTTAATTGGATTACGAGGTGTCAGCCGTCCAAGATTTTCCACCTTCCCCCGACCTATGATTGTTCCTTTGGATTCATCAATAACGTCAAGATAGAGGCAACCCATATCTAAATAGAGTTGTGAACCACTGTTACAAACTAGTCGCGTTGGTAGTCTTCAAGACAATGATAAAGATACCTTCGTACATTTCCCTTAAATCTACTTTGAGAACAAATGTTTTGCTTCATTAATAACCTCCCAGCAAGAGAATCATAGTTCTACTTTCAATGGCAGAAGGGGAGAATGACCTTTGCGATTAGATGAACAAGGCATGGATTTTGTCTTCCATCAGGTCACGAGTTGTTAAAAACACCCAAAAGGGTAACTAGGTAGCAATCGAAGGGGGAACTTGAAATTTAATACTACCCACGTCACTTAAACATCGACGTATGCGAATCTATTAAGCATTAAGAAAGTGTTTCCTGCAAGGCCTCCACTCGAGAATAAGAAGTGCCTACAAAATGAACGCATATAAATTTCACTAAGAAATTCTTGTTCGTTGAAGCCACATAAAAATTTTAAGGGGAACTTAGTAACAAAAGGCAGCTTATATCCATCCTTTGCAATGAACCTGAACAACAAGCACTAAACGGGATGATCCTGTATGTTGGTGCACCGTTTATGCTCTTATCACTATGAAAAGGTTACTTATATGCCTGCCCATTTTTTAGCTTCCTTTAGGACAGCTAAAATTATAAATTAATTCTGCGAATAAGTGACCGTCATCTGATACAGATGAGACTGTTAACAGATTTTTACATGATACATTTGCATAAGAGGGAATAGTTGCAGAAATTTTAATCAGACCAACTACATCCAAAGCCCTTGCATGGAGTGTAAAAGGATTATTATTAACCTTCAAGATAACTGTGCATTTTGTGTAGAGGCACACACACAGGGTACCGCGTGTAACTGCGGACTTGTACATCTTTGTGAGAGCCAAAACGATGGACAAATCTCGGGCGCAAAAGGATCCCACCTCCGTCACAACTATCCTCACCCCACCAGACAACTCTAACTGCAGGGTGCTTGAGAGGCAAGGCTCGACGAGTAGTGCTACGAAATAGGGTCACTTGCAGCAGTAGGTATGCGAGGGGAGGTCCTGGAATACCCGGAGGAAGGGAAGTTTTAGCAGTGACTGGACGGCCCATTGGCTGCTGCATAATACTAGAGGAGTGACGGAAATAAGATTGACTACAACTACCTTCATGAGTCTTTATGGGGACAAATGAACTGATCCATTCCCAATTTAAAGACAGTATGTTAGTTCTTATTCTGAACCAACGCAACTTTACTTTTTAGATACGACCAAAAAAGTAATCCTACGACTGTCAATGTGATCGTGTGCAATTAAGATGAAAATTATGAAACAGAAATAAGCAGTTTGTTCAGTTGAAGAGCCACTCTAGCAAAGCCTTCCTTTTTTCATATCCAATGCTTTTCTAATGCGCTTAGGTAAAAAGCCGATAAAAAGTACCAATGTGACTATAGAAAATTAAAGAGGAAAAATGTACACGCGAGAACAAATTCTGTAAACGCATCAACCAGAGTCGATTCAAGAATCTACTTTAATCTCATTTTCAGGAGACTCCATCAGCAAATATCGACAAAGACTAAGCATTGGCATCCATAACATTATCATAAAATACTACCAAAGGCACGTGAAAGCAAATAACTCGATAATTAAACAAATCGAATAGAGAAAAGCCATAGGTCAGAAAACGTAATATCCGTTATACGGAAAATTTAACCAACGGGGAACTTACGGAAAACAAGTTCATGAAAACAATCTATTAAATAAGTTTCCGCCTGAAAATCATATGATCGAAAAACGTGAGTCGTAACCAGTGGCAACGCCAACGCAAAAGAACTCGAAAAATTGGATATTCGACAGGTAATATAAAGCAGCACCAAAAATTGGGGTTTAGTTAAGGCCTTCACTATTGCACGCAAAAAAGCACGCATATTTTATAATGGGCTGGATTTTGCACCAGAAGTCAAATGGAAGGCTTATGCAAATGTAGCAAAGTTGGAGGTTACTTATGGCCGTTTGTTTCAAATCTCATGATTATGCACCAGCTGTAACACGACTAAATCAATAAAATTTTACGAATATATGGTCAGCGTGTATCTTAAGGCAATTACGGTCACATTGGGGACAGTAAGGTTTTTTCACGCATTCCAGCCGATGCAAGAGAAAAGGCAACGAAAGTGCCACATAGGAGCGTCTTAAGGATTTATACAGGATAAAAAGACATACATACGCAAAAAAACACATACGTCAATGTGATAGAAGCAAAAGGATATCTAAGGTAGCGGAATTTCCTCAAAGCCAGCTTAAACGAGAAGGTAAATGTTGGCATCAGCATAATCTGTGCAGAATGCCTTGTTTATTCAAATACTTCTGGCAAAGATTACCTTTGGTCAAGCATCTTGCTTCCGCTAAGTAATCTGATCTTGTCAAAGTCTAGTCGCTGTAATTTTGATCAAATACAAGTATCAAAACAAGTCGTTCGTTTTCGATTGACAAGTTAAATCTCTCGGGACGCTATAAACTACAAATCCGTAGTTTTTTCCCTTAAAATTATAAGTAAAAGCTATAAGTTCTGCTGACCATCATGCATCCTTAGAGTTCGGTTCTAAAACATGAATCAAAAATAGATTTCCAGTTTTAATGACACCGTTTAATTTGCTCTTATAAAGGGTAGGAGGTTGGTTAGTTTTGAACATGATACTCGTGCTTCAAGAACATGGAATTTTTCCGTAGAGCAGCATCAAATCTCCATCTTATCTTCACCCGTATCCATTTCTATTCTGTAAAGGATATTTAATAAACACTCGCTAAATGATTCCCTTATGAAGCCAGAAGTTCGAAAGGCCAAACAAGAACGGTACATAGCACCATGTGAAATACATTTCCTTTAATTTAAGATTGTCCTCGACCGTATATAGCTTTAACGGAGGTAACAACGGCACGGTTCTCTCTCAAAACAGCCCACAGCATGCGTCGCTCTCATTGTCGATGGCTGTCCTGTAACACATAGGAAAGGTGAAATGCCAAACGCAGATACTAGTTATAGGTAATATTCCATTTGTCACACATGTGTTTAATTTACAATGTAATACTACGCCAGAGGTAGTAAGAATTAGGACATAAAGTCTTCCACTTTTGGATCAACTTTTATTCAGCACCAGTACTGGCAACCAAACAAACACGATGCAATAATATGGTTTCATTCAGTGGCAAGTGGATCGGTTAGATTATAAAAACACAAATCTAATTAATTTTAAGTCCATAAATAACCATAAAGTGACCGAAAGCTAGATATTTTCACCGTAACTAGGTCAATGAATTTGCAAAAAATGCAAAGAACTATCACCTTTTAAGTAACACAAGTATGAGACATTAGGCACTACATCAAATGGAGTTCATCTCTCATTTAATTGAGTGTGGATTTGCGCTGGAGCCCATTTTTTTACCGATTTGTTTATGCAACTACCTGACGTTTGGCGGTAACCTTAGGATTTTTCTGACCCTTGAACGTGTGGTCTGGCCTTCAGGCCATGCTCAGGCACAGTCGCTCTGTTCCCTTCGGAATACATATATCCAGCCTCACTCACCGCCTTCTTCCACTCTATGGGAAGTCTCAGGACGCTACAATTTTATCCTTACATTTATGCATCATAATAATCTGACTGCTGCCCCTAACATTCGTTTTAGCCTTTGTCGACATCAACAACATGGCACTACCAGTACTGGTACCCTGCAATTTATGGGTTGATACTTATAGTTTAACGTTCCGAAAGAAAGCATTGCGTTGAAGTTTAATTTCGACATGTACTTATGGTTATCTGGCGCATCTAAGCGGAAGATGAGTACCAAAGCATGCAGGCAGTTTGCGGGTTGTGACCGTGACCCTTTGTTTATGCGGTTACACGATATCGGGTGGTTACTTTGGCATTTATCATGTCCTTGTACGTGTGAGCTGGCCTTGGACCCCAGCCAAAGTCCAATCCCATCTTGTGCTCTTAAAATATATGCACTTAATCCAACTCGATATCCTCTTCTGCCAAGGGACTTTCTGCTCGTTTTCTAGAATAATCAAAGTGGTTGCTAGTGTACAATATGTATAAAGCTTCGCACAGAACTATAATACTTTGTTTATGTAACCACCCGATGTATGGTGGTTAGTTAAGATTCGTCTAGTCCCTCTTAGCGTGGGCTGGCCTTCAGGCATTGCTTAGACCTAAATTAATTGTTCCCCTTGGAATGCAAGTATTCAACTTCTTTTTCTGCTTCTTCTACTCGGGACTCTACAAGAACAACAATACAATTTGTGCTATAGCAGGTGCAATGCTTTGTTGATGTGACTATCTGACGTTTGACGATCACTTTAGAACTTGTCTGGGCCCTGTACACGTGGGCTGGCCTTCGGGCCACGCTCAGACCCCCATTTCTCCTATTGTTTTCGGAATACATGTATTCAACCTCACTTATGCCTTCTACTACTCCATTGGAAGCCTCGGGACGCTACAGCAGGTATGGTAATATTTGATTGTTTGAACTTAGCGGTGTAATGCTTTGCTTATGTGGCTACCTGATGTTTGGCGATCACTTTAGAATTTGTCTGGGTCCTGTAAACGTGGGCTGGTCTTCGGGCCACGCTCAGGCCCCATTCGCTCTGTCATCTTCGGAATACGTGTATTCAATCTCACTTATACCTTCCTTCATCCTATGGGAAGCCTTGGGACGCTACAGGCGGCAGTAATGCTTTGTGCACAGGACGAAGTGAAGCCTAGCGGCGAATATGGTCTTCATCTGGCATAAGTATGCGTAGGCTAGACGTTGGGCCTAAGTGAGGTTTAATCCCTGCTTCCACTACAATCAATGCATCCAGCTCAACTTATTACCTTCACCTACCCAGTGGGACGTCTCGGTGCCCAACGTTTATTTTTGGTGTGTAGATCGATTAAGCTATGGCCTCACTCCTATCGTTTCTGTAAAATATCTGTTTATTTCATCCCAATATCTTGCTTTATTTAGTGAGAACACCAAAAATGTTGCGAACATGGTTTAACCTATCCAAAAATTTTGCTTGGATTTTTGAGATTTGCTAACGACAATTTTTTACTTATATTAAATTTAGAAAATTGCAAAGTAAAAAATAATAAGCTGTAGTACAGTGACATTTTTGGCACTTATTCATTTTTTGTTAAAATACCTCGGTTATTGTTTTAATCATTGCTTAAGCCGGCGAACTTTTGTATGATCGGTCTTTGCGGTGCTAGTGGTGCACTTTACAAGAGACGCATCTAGAAATACATTGACCTAGCATTTTGAAAAGCCATCTGGTCTCTCTTGTTTCGCTTTCCTCAGACATGTTAAATTTTTTTGGTATCTGATAATACTCATTCAGGAGGCATGCATAAGCTAGGTGTAAATGAGATTTTACTAAGGACAGCTTTTATTCTCCTGTATTACGACATTTGCACCACCTTAACAAGAATGTATGCTGTTATTTTCAAAGTTTGTATGAGCTGATGTTTGATTCTATATGCGCGACTTTCGACCTTTTTCCTCTCAGACTTCAATGACGATTCCGATTGTCATTACCGATCGCAACCGCTTTCGCGTCTCCGTTGGCGGTTGTCCTCTTGATTCTCAGTATGCAGATCTTTACCTGTCACGGCTCAAATTGTCTCACAGTCGTCTTGAGAATCAGGCACGTTGTCAGTGGCCGCAACTACCCATTCGATCAGTTCCGGATGTTAAGATTGATGAGGAGTGCGTCATCATTGGTACCATATATCGAGTAAGTTGGAAAAGTTGGTGGCGCTGTATTCTGTTTTGACTTCTCGTTTCTAAATAGTAACAGAGACTAACTGATTTTATAAATGAAAAATTTATTTTCAATGTTAGTTCCTCTCCCGCCACGGATGTGGTGTTTATTTTCAATTGTATTCTTGGAATTATGATAAATGCATCTTTTACTAGTTGTATGACTTCTGTAAAAAAAGGAAAAGTGTTGTTATCGATTGATTCAGGGACTTTATTTTAAATATTCAATGACGTGAATTACTTACATCCTAACTGCAGATTTATAAATACAGTGGTCTTCTAATCATAGTGTGTTCATTTAACATTATGATAGCTTAATATGAGCATAGGTTGAAATTTGTATTTGGAAACTACATGCAGGACTAAGTTACCATGCTGGACCGCAAATCAAAACAGGTGTCAGTAGTGTGCGTTCACTGAGCAGAGCGTGGTGTGAGATCATACCAACTTTCAAGATTCTAGTGGGAGTTCAGTGCTATGATGAGATGTTAGGGCGCGATAGTTAGGGAGGCGACCGTCTTGTCTGTGATGGCTTCCATCTAACAGCTTCAACAGTCAATTC